TCTATCTATCTATCTATCTATCTATCTATCTATCTATCTATCTATCTTGCATCGCGGAAGATATATATGTTGTATATATCGCTTGTCTCCAGATTCACCGGTGTGTACAAATTGCATGCATGCCTGTGACATGCACGCGTGTCTTTCAGCGGAGAAAGCTGATTAGCCCTATCGCCGGGCAGGCAGGCTGGAAGGAATGTTGGATTGCCATCCGTCTCCCCGGTTCTTAACCGGGTTACAATGCCAACACCGACGATCCCGGGCTTCATCTTCTCTTAGCCTAGGAAAGCCCGCAGCGCTGGCCGCCCCGAACGACCCGGTTGCGGTCCCCAATTGCTGCAACTGGCGAGCGCCGAGCGCGTGGAAAGCGAAAAACGGGACTCGCCCGCTGTCCCTTGCACTGCGGAAGGCGGTGAAACGTAGAGAAGAGCCACCCTCCCTTCGAGAAAGAGCCGGGAGGCGTTTCAATCGCAGGTCAAGCCGGGTGTTATTCAGATCACGTCCCGGCGTGTTTTGGAAGAGAGAAAGCGCAGCTGCTGTTGCCCGTGCTCCGGTTTGCACGGCGGCGGCGACAGATTGCAGGATTTATTAAAAAAAAGAAGGAAAGAGAAAGAGAGGGGTGGGGAGAAAAGAAGAGGGAGAGATAAAGAGGGAGGGAGGGAGGGAGAGAGAGAGAGAAGGAAAGGGAGGAAAGAGGGAGGGGGTGAGAAAGAGGGAGAGGGAGAGAGAAGAGAGAGAGAAGGAAAGGGAGGGAGAGAAGCAGAGAGAGGGGGGAGAAAGAGGGAGAAAGGGAGAGTGAAAGAAGAAGAGAGAAAGAGGGAGAGGGAGAAAGGGAGAGTGAAAGAGGGAGAGACGAAGAGAGAGAGAAGGAAAGGGGGGGAGAGAAGGAGAGGGGGGTGAGAAAGAGGGAGAGGGAGAAAGGGAGAGAAGGAGAGGGAGAGAGAAGGAGAAAGAGGGATTGGGGGAAGAGGGAGAAAGGGTGAGGGAGAGGAATAGAGGGGGGGAAGAGGGACACACACACACACACACACACACACACACACACACACACAC